AAAAAAAAAAAAAAAAGAAAAAGAAAAAGAAAGGTGGCATTACTAATAACCTATTTTTTTTTTAAAAGGCAGAGTCTTACTTTGTCACCCTCAGTAGCGTGCTGTGATATCACAGCTCACAGCAAACCTCCAGTTCTTGGGCTTAGGCGATCCTCTTGCCTCAGCCTCCCGAGTAGCTGGGACTACAGGCTCCTACCAGAACGCCCGGCTATTTTTTTTTGTTACAGTTTGGCCAGGGCAGGATTTGAACCCACCACCCTCAGTATATAGGGCTGGCACCCTACCCACTGAGCTACAGGAGCCACCTACTAATAACCTATCTAACAGTAAAATAAACTATCAAACAGAAAGTTAAGGAAACAAAGTCACAGCACATAATTGCCTCTCTGAAGTGAAAACTCACAAGTACTCCCTTTGCTTTGTTTAATTAAAACACCTGTGGCCCAAGAGTTTGAGGTTGCTGTGTGATAAAGATGCTATGGCACTGTACTGAGGGTGACCAAGTGAGACTCTGTCTCAAAAAATAATAATAAAATAAAAAATAAAAACAAAATAAAACAAATATAGCCAGGCATTGTGGCAGGCGACTTTAGTCCCAGCTACTTGGGAAACTGAGGCAAGAGAATTACTTAAGTCCAAGAGTTTGAGGTTGCTGGGAGCTGTGATGCCATGGCACTCTACCAAGGGTGACATAGTGAGACTGTCTCAAAATAAATAAATAAATAAAATAAAAATAGAAAAACTAGCCAGGCACATGGAGGATGCCTGTAGTCCCAGCTACTTGGGAAGTGGAGGCAAATGGCTCTCTTGAGCCCAGGAGTTTGAGGTTGCTGTGAGTAGTGATGCCACTGCACTCTATCCGTGGCGACAGAGTGAGAGTAGGTCTATATAAATGAATAAATAAATGAATGAATACATACCTACATACACCACTTCCCAGGCCAGCACTTCATTTGTAGGCTATAGCGGCTCCCTCCTCTTTCTCTCAAATAAAATAAACTTTCTTTCCTAAACTACAACTATCCTACTCCTGGCTCGGTGCCCATAGCACAGTGGTTACTGCGCCAGCCACATACACCGAGGGTGGCAAGTTTGAACCCCACCCAGGCCAGCTAAAAACAACAATGGCAACTGCAACAAAAATAGCCGGGCGTTGTGGTGGGCGCCTGTAGTCCCAGCAACCTGGGAGGCTGAAGAAGAGACTCTCTTAAGCCCAGAAGTTTGAGGTTGCTGTGAGCTGTGACACCATGGTACTCTACCGAGGGCAACATAGTGAGACTCTGTCTCAACAACAACAAACAAACAAAACTATTCTACTCCTGGTGTGAGAAATCTTTCTCCAATCTCTGCTGTGAGCTCCTCACGAGTTCCCACCCTAGTAGTTATTAGTAACCACATTTTATAAATAATAAACTATCAGAAGTCAGGTGGTTTCTTTGAGGTCACACAAGAGACAAACTGGAATTCAAACTCAGGCCTGTCTGGCCCTAACCCTGTGTTTTTAATCAAATTGAAGCACTCAGAAGGAGGTCTGGTTTTGAAACCTGAATACTCAGTGTGCACTTCAATTTCCAGGACCTCAGTTTTCCCACCTGTTTAAGGCACTGGTTGCGCTAGGGACCCTGCCAAGCCCCTCAAGCGCCTACGGAAATCCTCCCCTTCCCTCTTGGAGCGCGGGGCCACTCTGACACTAGGGGGCGCCCTCGGGCCGGCGGAGCTCTGCTCACCCACGATCAGGGCCTTGGTGCGCAGCCCGCCCTGGAGCTCTCGCTGCAGCAGCAGCAGCTCCTCTTCATCCTCTTCGTCGTCGGGTTGGGCCGCTGGGGGGTGGCATGTACTGGGGACCTCGGGCTCCGGGCCCAGCTCCTCCAGCACAGAACTCTCAGAGGGGTATTGGTACGTGGTCTCCAGGGCTGTCTCGTTGAAGGAGATCTTGAGCTGAGGGAGGTAAAGGGAGTTGGAGACACGCTCAGCGCCGGAAGTCAGGAGGAAGCCCAGGGGGGAAGCCCAGGAAGGCTGCCGCGGCCCAGGTGGAAGGGGGGGGGGGGTTCCAGACTGGACTTAGGCACCCTGCTGACTCTTCTCCCCATCCACTTGGGATCTAGTTTTCTTTTCCATACTGGCTCTCCAGCCTAGACTTCCCTCTTCAATCATCATTTCAAACACATCGGACTTTGGCTTGTGGCTTTGGCAGGGGCCTGAGAAACAGAAGGGAGGAACGTAGAACTAAGTTCCCTGTGAGAAACAGAAGGGTTAAAAAAAATGAAAATACATGATGCTGGCTCGGGGCCTGTAGCTCAGTAGCTAGGGCGCCTGCCACATAGCCACATACACCTGGACTGGCAGGCCCAGCCCCAGCCTGCCAAACAACAATGACAACTACAACAAAAAAACAGCCGGGCCTTGTGGCGAGTGCTTGTAGTCCCAGCTACTTGGGAGGCTGAGGCAAGAGGATTGTTTGAGCCCAAGTGTTTGAGGTTGCTGTGAGCTGTGATGCCACAGCACTCTACCCAGGGCGACATAGTGAGACTGTCTCAGAAAAAAAGAAAAGAAAAAGAAAACACATGGTGCTGTGATCAGAATTGAGTATTTGGACACTGGGGGCAATTAGGTAGCCTTTTAGATGAGGCAAGGTTTGAGCTGGCCAGGCACTTAAGAGCTGGTTGAGAGAGTCCCAGCTAAAAGCAAGGTTTTCATACCCTCAGCCCCTTGTTATCTCCTAGGCAACTGCCTGCTCCCACTCCCTTCACTCCTCTCTTATCCACAGCAAAGGGGGTTAAGGGCCTGGGAAGGGGTAAGAGATCAACAGAAAGGCTCAGAGGAACCAAGAGACTCTCCAACACACAAGGGAGAAGATGAGTCCCTAAGTCCCTCAGAGGTACAGCTGGGAGAGGTGACAAGGGCAGAGAGTAAAGTCCATACAAACCTAGAGTAGGGGTGGAGAGGGGGCCAAAAGGAATAGTAGACACAGGGGAATGGTAGAGACAGAGGCAAAAGGCCAGAGATGAGGCAGAAAACTCTCCAAAACACACTGTCTCAGCCAGGCATGGTGGTCACTCCTGTAATCCTAGCACTCTGGGAGGCTGAAGTGGGAGTGAGAGACCCTGTCTCTGCTAAAAACAGAAAATTAGCTGGACATTTTGGCATGCAACTACAGTCCCAGCTACTGAGAAGACTGAGGTAGAAGGATCGATTGAGCCCAGGAATTTGAGGTTGCAGTGAGCTGATTATGCCACTGTACCCCACCAGGGGCAACAGATTGTCTTAAGTGAACAAACAAGCAAACAAAAAACAAAAACCCCCCATAATGTCCCAAGAGCAGGGCGAGGCACAGCTGTTCTCACTGCCTCTCTACCCTTCCCCTTTGCCCTCTTAAGAAGCTCAGGGGGAAGGGGCAGGGTGGGATTAAGTCTGGGAGCCAAAGGGATTAGAGAGACAAACAGGATTCTATGTGTACTACTTGGAAAGGCCCAGATGATCTACTCAGGCCTTCCCCTGGCATCTGTTTAGGAAATCTTGGGGCTGAGCCCTACATCTCTGAGTCTCTGCATGAACTGGAGTATGAGAAGCTAGGAAGGTGACTGAACAGGTGATTGCCAAGGACTGTATGAGATATGACACCTTAGTCCCACGGAGAGCTGGAACTCAGGGACTGTACGTGTCACTTCTTGGCTACAAACTCTGCAATGGCTCCCATTTCACTTGCAGTGAAAGCCAGGGTCTGACCAAAGCTTACAGGGTGTTCCCAATGTGCCATCCTGCCTTTACCTCTCTGGCATCCATCTTCACACTAGTCACACTGGACTTGGTTTCATCCAAGCCCAACACGTACACTATCACCTCAGGGCCTTTGCACTGGCTGTTCCTTCTGTGTGCAATGCTCTTCTCCCAAATGTCCCCATGGTTCCTCCCTCCTGATGGCCCTATTCTGAAGTTGACACATTCACTTCCCCTGCCTCTTGACTCTCAGTATTCCACTTATCCCTGTTCTTATATTTTCCCCATAATCACTTACCACCTAAAATATTTGCTTATTGGGCTGGGCGCAGTGGTTCATACCTGTACTCCTACCATGCTGGGAGGCCGAGGTGGATGGATCGCCTGAGCTCACAGGTTCAAGACCAGCCTGAACAAGAGTGAGACCCCATCTCAAAAAATAGCTGGGTGTTTGGTGGCCCTGGTAGCTCAGTGGGTAGGGCGCCAGCCACATACAATGAGGCTGGTCGGTTGGAACCCAGCCCGGGCCTGCTAAACAACAATGACAACTGCAACAACAACAAATAGCCAGGTGCTGAGGCCGGTGCCTGTAATCACAGCTACTAGGGAGGCTGAGGCAAGAGAATCTCTTGAGCCCAAAAGTTTGAGGTTGCTGTGAGCTATGATGCCATGGCATTCTACTAAGGGTGACAAAGTGAGACTCTGTCTCAAAAAAAAAAAAAAATTGGCTCGGTGCCTGTGGCTCAAGTGGCTAAGGCGCCAGCCACATACACCTAAGGTGACGGGTTCGAATCCAGCCCGGGCCCGCCAAACAACAATGACGGCTGCAACCAAAAAATAGCCAGGCATTGTGGCAGGCGCCTGTAGTCCCAGCTACTTGTGAGGCTGAGGCAAGAGAATCTCTTGAGCCCAAAAGTTTGAGGTTGCTGTGAGCTATGATGCCACGGCATTCTACCCAGGGGGACAGCTTGAGGCTCTGTCTCAAAAAAAAAAATTGCTTATTTATTATGTTCATGTCTGATATCAAAGGAACTTGGAAGTTGCTACAGTGGATGAGATTTGTCCAGCCCTCAGATGAGGTAACAACAGAGGACCAATGCTGGGGGAAGAATCTAGGGGTAGTCCAGCCTGTATATAGTGAACCTCTAGTCTGTGTTAAACAGCAGTGACAGCGGCCAGACTGCTTATATCTTAACTTCTTGAAAGGGACTACTTAGGATTCTATAATTGACAGATTTATCCAAATGTCTAGGAGCTCACTTCTGTTTTCTTTTCATATCTCCATTTAGGATAAAAACCTCTAGAGCAGTGGTTCTCAACCTTCCTAATGCTGTGAACCTTTAATACAGTCCAAAGGGGTCATGACCCACAGGTTGAAAACTGCTTGCCCTAGAGTTTACTATCTACTCTGTCTCTCTCCCCAACCTACTCTTTCATCGCCGCCCCCCCAGCTTCTGACTGGGCTTCTCAGGAATGCACAGCCTGCATGGTAGTGGGGGGGGGGGAGGAGAAGGGTGACTCACTCACTCCTCTCCCCTCAGCTATATACGGTCACAAAGGGGCTAATCTCTCAGCCCAAAGGACCTCTCGGGAACGGGACCAGCCATAGCCATAGTCCATCCCCTGGGCTCCCATGGTAGGGCTGAAATTTCTCTCCTGATGGCAGGGATAAGTTTGATGGAATCAGCCCACAAACAGGAATTATTTAGGGAAGGTGGTGAGATTGGTGTTGGGGTCCTCTTATCTCTTATTCCTGAGCGGGTTGCAGAAGTGGGACAAGGCACACCAGTCCCTGATGAACAAGGTGCTAAGGGAGGGAAGAAGGCCTGAGAGAGAGTGGAGGGTGAGGTGTCTGGGTACAGAGAACTTTCTGCTGCCTCTTCCCCACCCTACCCCCTCCCTTGAGCTGCTGCTTCCTTATTCTCTCACCACATCCTGAGCACAGTTCTGGCAGGCCCAAGGCCCAGTGTTCCCCACTCAGCCACACCAGCCTTCCGGCCCCCACCCCACGCTTCCTGTTTGGGTGATCTGCTTCCGGCTCCCCTACTCTCTGGCTTAGGTATGGTCACCATCACAGGTCCTGCCCTGCATTCAATTCCTGGCTCCCTTCGATGCTCCCTGGGCTTTGGTCCCCAAAGCTTCATGCTCCTTCCTCCCCAAGGGCACAAGCCAGCCTCAGTAGGAAGTGACTTTTCTGAACACCTCACTCTGGTAGAATTTCCTGACCTCCTTCCTTTGCATCTGCCCAGCCCTGAGGGGTAGGGGATGGGTAGCAGTCAGACAGCTCAGGGTAGATTCCAAAATACCATGGCTCAAGACAGGAGCTTAAGCTCCATGTGAAGATGAATAGATCAAATGACTCCCCAAGTTTAATTTGTTTTAAAAAACAAATCTGAGGACATTAACATATGAGATAAGAAAAGACTGGGTTTCCCAGGGTCTGGGGAGATGTGTATTAGTAGAGGGACCCTTGTGTTGAAGACATCTGAGTGTGGGACCATTTTTTGGCCAGGGCCAGGTTTGAACCCGCTGCCTCTAGTATATGGGGCCGGTGCCCTACTCCTTGAGCCACAGGCACCACCCAAGTGTGGGACCTTTTTCTCCCTAGAGATTTTCAAGCTAGAACTGATGGATGTGCATATGGAAGGAGTTGGTCAGGGCTGGCAGGGAAGTCAGCCTGGTTGCTCTCAATGCCCCGCATGTCCTTGTTCACATCTAACCTCTGACCCTCTGCTGGCCTTAGCCTCCATCCCTTTCCCCAACTCCCAGTGTACTCCCTGTCCACTATCTGCTCTCAGCATTGTATATCCAAATGTACTTTTCTCTTTTGCTACCCCAAAGGGAGGGAGAGGCCAGGATGGCAGGGAGAGGGGAAAACCAATTGCTGAGCCAGTTCTGGGGAGGGAGGGGAAGCCCAAGGAGGAACAACGGGGAAGTAAGGGGCGGGGGTATTTTGGAAGAGAAGGCTTTTCTTGTCCCAAGAGAGAAGGAAGCACTGTCTGAAGCAGTGGCCCAGCTGGGGGTGTGCAACCCCGAGGTCATCGACTTCAAATGGCCTCTGTGTGTCTCTTCCCCTGGGCAGACTATGGGGGGGGGGTGCTGTTAAAAGCCTTCTCTCTGCTCTTTGGCCAGCCCAGTTTCATACCCTCTCTCCCCTCTATCCTAAGAGACACATAGCCCTGCCCACTTTTCCTTGGGGGTATGAGATCTTTCTCCACGGGCTTCTCTCTGCAATTTCTACCTAGAACCCCAAGCTCATCCTTTCCACCACCCCAGCTTTCCTACCTTGACATTCTGTCCCTTGAAAAGAAGTAAGAGCTTTCACTCTGGTGAATGTGCCCTCCCAGATTCAAGGTTGTTGGTTTGGGCTCCTATCTCCCACCAAATGGGCTGGAGTGGGTCACAGACTCAAAAGAAAGGAAGGAAAGAAATGGGGGAAGGAAACTCAGAGCCTGAGGGAAGGGAGAACAAGTAGCCCAGGCACACCCTGAGAAAGAAAGACACACCCAGAGACAGCATTAGATTGCTGGGCAGATCTTTGGGGCTCAAAATGGAAAAAGAGGGCTAGGAGAAGGAAGGGTGTGTTTGCAGAGGGAGGAAGGGTGGTGACAGAAATTAACAAGAAAGAATAGAGGAGGACAAGAATACGGGGGGTATAAAAAAGAAAGACGAGTCCAGAGAGAACTGACAAGTGGCTTCTAAGAAGTCTGGCTTGGCAGCTCCCCTACCTGTTTGTGATGTCTTTCGGGGGACCCCTTGACAAGGCAGCTGCGGCTGAGACGAAGGTAGCCCCCTAGAACCAAGATCTCCTCAGCAGTCGGGTACCGCTTCTTCCCAGCCCCAGAGACTGCAGCATCAGTTGTGGCTGGGGTGGCTGGGGTTGCAGGGGGCACAGACCGCCGGGGGTTGACTGTGAAAGTGTGTCCACTACGGCGGGGGGCTCCAACCCCTGGCCCTGCCTTCACCCCATAGAACAGTCGGCTCATGAGGGGATCCCCAGGGGGTTGGGGGGCGACTGGGGGTGGAGGAGACAGGGGGGCTGGTGGTGGGGGCTGGAGTTCCACTGCTTCCTCTTCCTGCTGTCTCAGGCCTCCGGTCCCAGAGTCCTCTGGTGGGACGGGGGAGGGCAGAGAGCAGCGGTTCAGCAGGTTTCTCAGAGGCCTGCCCTGAGCCCCCGCCTCCTCCTTCTCAGCCTCCCCTTCTCTAGCCTCTATACCAGGAGGCCCCAGACGCTTCTCAGCTGACTCTGGAGGTTCTGGCTTTTGAGTTTGAATCTCTGTGTCCCTGGGTGTCCATTCTCTAGCCTTCCCAGAGTTCAGGGTCCATTTCCACCCTTCCATTGGCTTCATGTCCCTCTCACCATCTTCCACAGGGCTGGGCATCTGTTCTGCCCTCTCCACTCTTTTAGAGCTGTTGTCTTCAGCCTTCCTTGTCAGAGTTTCTGACAGCCCTGTAATCTGTTCTGGGGCCATCCCTGAAATAGGCTTCTCTTCTTTTCTCCTACATTTCTCTGAGTGGTCTTTTCTTTCTTCTCCTGAGCTCAGCCTCCACTCTGTTTCTTCCAGTTGTACCAAACTCTGTTCCTGAGACTCTCTAGAGTCAGGCTTCCATTTATGGGCCTCTGTTAGGCCTGACTTCTGGTTGCTAGATTCCCCTGGGCTCAGTCTACTTTCCCCCATCTCTTTTCTCCTAGGGCTTTGTTCTAGAGAATCTGCCAGTCTCGAACTCTGCTCTGGAGTTTCTCCAGGGCTCAGCCTCGATTTCCATGTCTCTGACAGTCGGGCACTCCTGTTTCCTGCCTCTCCTGGGCTTTGCCTCCTGTCCCAAGCCTCCAAAGGCCTGGGGCTCAACTCTTGGGCTTCCCCAATCCCCAGTCTCCTGTCTCTGGTGTAGGTGGGACTTAGCCTCTCTTCTCTTGATTCTCTTCCCTTGGGGCTCTGATCCCGCATCACCCCAGGGCCGGGTCTACGCTCTCTGGCCTCCAGAGGCCCAGGCTTTCTCTCCACGGCAAGTAGTTCTTCACTCCGTTGTTGTTGCTGCTGCTGTTGCTGCTGCCGCTCCTGCCGCTCCTGCCGGATGAATCGGTTTTGATGCACTGGCCCAATGGCTTCCAAAAGGACAGCAGACTCATCTGGGTCTGGAGGTCCAGCCTCTGCAGTCCCAGGCACAGGGCTAGGCTCACCAGGAGACAGCCCAAGCTTGGCCCGGCGGCGCTCCAGGAGTCCCCGCTTCCAGGCTGGCATCTGGGACAGGCGCTCCCTCTCTGCCTTTTCCCGGCCACGAACCGATGCCTCCTCTTGCCGGCGCCGAGCTAGCAGCTGTAGCTTCCAGTCTGGGATGGTGGCCATTGCGTCTTGAGGTGAGGGTAAGGAGCGCTGGAGGCAGAGAACAGGAAGGAGAGGCTCCAGAAAGGCCCAGCGGGTGAGATGGGGGTGGGAGGAGAGGAAGTGGAGGAGGAGAGATGGGACACAGGGAAGGATGAGGAGCTGAGGATGAGGACAGAGGGAAAGAGGGAGAAAAAGGAGGGCAGAAAAGGGGGCGGTGTTGAAAAAGTGAAGAGAAGCTATGAACAAGTTGGGGATGGGGGTAGCGTGAGAGGAAGAGTCCAGATTCAGGGCAATGAGGGCAGGAACCAGATTTGGCAGTACAGGGTTAATGGATACTAAAGACAGTCCCAAGATTGTGTGGAGATAGAGGGGCGAAAAGAGAAGAGAAGCTGGCGTGAGGGAGAAGAGAGAAAGGAGGGGGAACTGGGTTCAGGCGAGGCTGCCACACCAATATCCCAGGAGAGAAGTGTGGAAAGAAAGGTCAGGGAATCTCCCTCCGAGGGAATCAACAGGACCTGAGGGGATGTCGGGGGGTTAAGGAGGGGCGGACAGGGAGGAGGTCTCAGGGAGAAGGGGAAATCGGGGGAGCGGGAAAAGGGACCGCGGCGGCAGCCCGGCGTGTCTCAGCGCCGGCCCCGGAGGTCCACGGCTCCCCTTCTAGCTCCGCTCGGGCCACGCCTCTCTGGCCTGGTAGCCCCCACCCCTCCTTCCCGCACTCCGCCCCTAAGGCGGGTCAGGGGAAATACCCCTCCCCGGGGACTTTCGGAACCCCAGCGTCTGGGCTGCCAGCACGTTCCCAGAACACAGTCCACCCCCACTCAGGCCTGTAGCCACCGTCTGCCTGTCCCACCGGCTGCACCCCGCCACCCAGGAATGCCGAGGAGTGGCTCCATGCCTCTCTCTCCAGAGCCCTAGAGTCCCACGACGGGTCCCCGCTCTCTTGGAGTCCTGACCGAGCCAGCCGTCACTAACCGGCTCTGATCGCACAGACAATCTCCGCACAAAGAGGAGACAGCCCAAGGTTTGGGCCAGGGACAAGAGCGGGGACGAGAGCAAGGAGACACCCCTGCCCAAGTCTGAGACCTTCAGTTAACTCACACGCCAAGGGCCCCCCAGGGGAGGGGTTGTGGAGGAGCCAGGCGTCCGGAGAGAGGAAGAGGAGGAGAGAGGGAGCGAGGGAGATCCGGAGATTGGAGGGAGGGGAGGAAGGAGGGAGAGGAGGAGGGAAAGAGGGAGCAGAGAAGGAGGGAAAGAGGGAGCAGAGGAGGAGGGACGGAGACCAAGACTAGGGGGCCGGGCGGGGGACGGCGACCGCTTTGTCTAAGGACAATGCAGAGAGGATAGGGGGCGCAGGGCGGAGCCGGGGAGGGGGCGGGGCCTCGCTCCCTCCCTCCCAGCGTGGGACTGGACTCCTGGACCGCCCTCTTATCGGCCGAACCACTCCTCTACTGTCACCAGGGTCGCTCATCCCCTTCCCGCCCGGAAACCCTGAGAACCCAGGTGTCCAGAATCCCTCCCCCAACTCGCAGAATCTGGGTGGCGGCCCGTGACTCAGGCCCCTCGAGGGATTTGGGGAGGAAGCGGCAGCTGCAACGGGTCGGTCCCGCCCTTCCCATCTTCTGTCGCTCCTCCCCACGCTTTTGCCTTCCCGAGCCAGCCTTTGTTACTGTGGGGTCGAGGGCAGCAGCCAGGCTGTGAGGGGGCCTGTGGAGAAGGATGGCAGGAGAGGCTCTCAGAAGCCAACTGAGAAACCTCGCTCCCTTGCCAGAACTCTGCCCCTTCTCTTTTTAGCTTCAACCTGCCTCCTTATGGGTCTTTGGACTGCTGCGGGAAACTGAGAGATTTGAAGGAAGAGAAACAAGACTCTCTCGAAAGGTGGGGGTGGGTCTGTGGGAAGTGGCCGCAGCCCACCAGTTGCCAGAGGGCGTGGTGCCTGCCCAGACTGGAGTTTGGCGCTCTCAGCCTCAGCTCATCTTCCTTTGCAAACTTAGCCATTTAGCTTGAAAGACCAATAGATTGCATGCCTTACGTAGAAACAACGGGTTGAATTTTATTTTCCTGCAGCGTTTCTCTGCAGTACAGGGAGCCCTAAGACACCCAGTCAAGAGCGAGAGCATCACCTTGGCTAGGTTGGGGGACCAAGCCCAGGGGAGGGTGGGGCCTAAGGAGGTAGAAAGACTAAGGCAGGGAGCAGAGAGCCAAGGCTTGGACCTGGACAGGCAGACACTGCCGTCAGACTTTGCAGGCCCTGGTCCAGCTTCTTGAAGTGGAAGTGAAACGTGAAGGGAATCCCTGAGGTGCAGGGGCCAGTAACAGTGCCAGGGGAGTGGTCAGGCCAGAACCTTTCCTTGTGAGGGGGCTGCTGGGGGGAGGAGGAGTGTGCCATGCCCTAAATTGTGAGGGTATAGTAAGTGCCACACACCCTCCTCCTGGCTGGTGAAAAGTAGATTTTGGGTCCAGTGACTGAAACTCAGAATTTAGGATATGAAGGTGGACCCAAAGAATGAAGTTTGAAGGAGTGGAAGGGGCATCTCCCTCATTCTGTGGATTTGAGCCACAGAATGGTCTGTGGCTTTGGTCTGAAGCAGCCAGGGCCTGGATGTAAAAGGATTTAGAATTTGAGGAGGAAAGGAAGTATAGGACTTGGAACTAGAGTTGGCTTCTCACTCTGCCTCCCCATCCTGGGGTCGGGAGAGTAGGTGCAGTTTTCTTTGTAGCTGAGCCCGAAGGTAACGGAGGTCTTGCTGGTCGAGTCCGTGAGCCAGGCCCAGGTAAAGGGTAAGGAGGAGAGCAAGGAGGAGTCGGTCAGTGCCCAGGGTGGGCACCACCCACAGCACAGTCAGCAGTTCCACACACACTGGGTGACGCAGGTGGGAGAAGAGTCTCAGAGCCCGGGGAGACTTCAAGGCCAGAGGCTCACCCAGCCCCAGGACATAGTAGTAAACCTAGGAGATGGAGAATAGCTTAAAAATAGAGTTAAGGCCTTTTCCCAAGGTAGCCACCTCTTTCCCCCTCTTCAGGCACTACCCATTGGCCAAAACTCAGGTCCAAAAACCACCTCCTGAGACTTGGGCCCCTGATCCTGGTCTCTGGTCCATGTACCTTCCTCAGGCCCAGGAGGCTCATTGCTGCCTTTTGGAGGAATGTTGAAGGGAGATTGTCTCAAAAGAAATGAAGGTGAGGGAGTAGAAAACCAGGGAAATGTAGAAGAACAGAGTGTGGGAGGAAGGGGAGAGAGTTCCCTGGAAGAGAAAGAAAGAAGAATGCTGGAAAAGGTCAGAAGATCTGAGAGCCTTACCTGTTTGAGGCCCATGAGCTCAGCATAGTCAAAGACGAGAAGGATGCTGAAGATGAGGAGCCAGGAAATGACGTGAAGCACAAAGCACAGGAGGGGCACCCAGGTGGCCCATGGTTCAGCTCGAGCCTCCCACAATACAGGGCCTCTGGGTACAGGCTCCCAGTACCGCATCACCAGCTGGGGAAGGAAGAGGGGCTGGGTATCTCAGAAGTCTACCCTGTCCACCAGACCTAGAGGCTGTCCCCACCCCAAGCTATCTGGCAGTTCTGTCCCACCTCTCTCATAAACATAACCAACACATATTCATCCTGTAGGGGGTGCTGGATGAGGTCCCAAGGTGATAAGGATAGCTTGTCTCTACCCTGAAGACTTACAGAACAGATGGAGGTGACCTGCTAAGTACATGAAGTAGCCTATGCCAAACACAAGTACTAACTGGTAAGCCTTCTCTTAAGACCCAGGGAAGTGGTTTTGAAGAAAGGGTAGGACTGAAGGGGAGTTAAGGAGGAGATCTTAAGCATGATAACATGAACAAAGTTGCAAAGGTGAGAATGCACATATTGTATTTGGGGAATGACCAGGAATACACCCTTCTTGATAAAAAGTAGGCTATGTGCTGTGGGGGAATGGAGGCTGAGATTAAAGTCCTGAACAGCCTCAATTCTCCTCCTTAACCTACATTTTGCCCCTCCATTCTAGGACATCCCTCCCACATTCTGTCTCCCTTAGGGACTGAGCTGCCAGGGAACCTCCTACCTGCAAGGCCAAGGCAGTACATGCCACATACAGTGATCTCTGAAGAACCCCAAAGTACTGAGATATCCACGCCTTCACTGTCTCAGTTGCCATGAGGCTGTGCTGCCCAACAAATAGTAGCAGAAGCCCCAGATCCCAAGCCAGGGGGGCAAGGATGCTGCGGTCCTGCAGGGCAGCCATCCATCCCTGGCGGGCAACTAGGGGGATTTGAAGGAGAAAGAGACAAAACATCAAGAAGATGGTAGTCTGGTTCCTCCTACCTTCATCTCCTCTTGGGGCCCCAGGCCTTCTCCTTAATACTTCCAAGAACCTTAATTCTTCCTGTCTAGGCCCATCTCACTTTTCCATTTCTTGTTTCTTCCCTCTTTTCTAAGCCTCCTTCAGACCTGGAGAAGAGGATTCATAGAAAAATCATGTTGGGCAGTCACAAAAAGCATGGCTGGAGAGACCACCGCTGGATTGCCTCCAAATTATCCCTCTTTTTAATACTCTCCCCTTCAAAGTTCCCTCTATAAAATGCTTTCCTTAAAATACTATGGTCATCATCTTTTCCCTCCCACTCAGTCCTCTCTCTCCCGCCTTTCCCAACCGCTAATCCCCCGAGGTCCTAATTTAGCTTTCAGGTCTCCCTCCTCTGCTGTGTCTCGCCACTTTCAAGGTTCGAGTTCCCTCTCCTGGACTTCCCCTGTCATTTGTCTCCAAGCCCCGCCCCCGCTCCCTCTCCTCCGGTTCCACCTTCCTACCCTGGAGCTCAGCCTCGATCCCTCCCGCTCACCCGGACCACCAGACTCCGGGATCCCTCCTAGAAGTGGCCGAAGGGAGGTAAAACGCACGAATTCCACTCCAGTGCCAAAGGCTAGTATGAAAGAGGTGAGGGCAGCAGAGACCAGTAGCAGTGCAGGGGCCATGGCGAGAAACCGAGGGGTGGGGAAAGGGGCGGGTTTGGGATTCCCGCGGCCGCAGGCCCCGCCCCCTACCCCGCCTTCCTTTAGGGATCTCGCCCAGGAGGGTGGGGCTTCTGCACGCCCTTCCGGCCCCGGCTTCGCTATCCCCTTCCCAGCCGCAGCGGGGATGCTTGGGTTCGTTTCTGAGCCTGTAAACCCCGCGTCACAGAAGGGAATGTTAGAATCCCCAGAGATGTAGTCCCAGCTACTTGGGAGGCTGAGGCAAGAGAACCGCTTAAGCCCAAAAGTTTGAGGTTGCTGTGAGCTGTGATGCTCTACCCAGGGCGACATAGTGAGACTCTGTCTCAAAAAAAAAAAAAAAAAGAATCCCCAGAGGTGTTAAGGGGCAGCGGCTCTGCAACCCTTCACGTAGGCTGAATCTAAGTTCGGCTTGTTTTCCCATCTAAAATGAAGACAATTCCTCTCTTGAAGGATTTGTGGAAACAGAACATTTTGAACCTCCCCCCACCTTTTAACTTAAACTTGGCTGGGACACAAATAGAGCCAGAAGTTACAAAACCTCAGTTAACACTTTAATAATGAACCGTGGGAGAAGGGACTGTTGACCCAGCCTGAGAACCCAAAGTTCTGAATCACCTATTACATCTCGTTAGATTTTTTAAAATATGGCCGTTTTACCACAAAATAAATTAATGCCTATTCTGTAACTTATTACAAAGTTGAGTTGTTGCCTCTCCACTTGCTAATGTCAAAGAACTTCTCTGTAACACTAAAAGGTTTGTTCTGATAGTGCCAGATTGTTGATTTGTAACAATGAGAGTAAAAATGTGTTAAAATATTTGTGATTTGGGCAGCGCCTGTGGCTCAAGGAGTAGGGTGCTGGCCCCATATGCTGAGGGTGGTGGGTTCAAACCCCGGCCAAAAAAAAAAAAATCTGTGTGATTTAAAAAAAAAAACACTTTTTCTCTGTCAGAACTGAAGATCATGCAGCTAAAGACACAGTCACAGTAGCTGTGCACATAATCGGGACCTTAGATATCATACTAACTCCCTCAACTTATAAGTAGAAGAAACAGGGTTCAAAGAGATGAAAATTGTCTGAGATAACGGAAACTGCTAGTCCTATGCGTTTAGGGATAAGAAAACTGCTAAGCAACGTCTCACAGCATCCCATCTACACTCCTTTCCTGCTCCGAAAAGGCTCGGTACTCTCGCCCTCCTCTGAATCAATGCTATTGTATACTGCATCAGGTATATTTTCTCTCTAGATTCAGTCTCTACCCTGTTTTCCGCTTCAGAAAGTTGTCCTGAATAGACTATATCAGTGAAGTTCACAGTTTTTATTGAGGAGGCTCTCTACCTAATTGCCCTCTTTTTGAGCTTGGAGGTGGTCACAGCAAAACTGTGGATACTGAGGGTATTGCATGCACTATCCTTTGTGATTTCCCTATATCCTGCCTACATCCTTGTAATTATCACTTTATTTTAAACTCTTCCCGAAATCATCTGAATTTCACTGTGCTATCCATTTCCTGCTAGAACTGTGACTGATAAGAGACACAAAGCAAGTGCCATGAGCTGTGGCATACTGAAAGTATTGGAAGTGCAAGAAAAGTTTCCTATTATGTACAAGTTTAAATGGGGGCACTTAAATAGTACCAGTCATGAAGAGGGAATGTATCTGAGCGCTACATGGTACTCTAGAGAGAGTAGGTACTGTAAGGAATCTGTGGGCCTTGGGGACATGGACAATTTCATATTTCATATAATACTAAGTTGTGGGCTCGGTGCCTGTGGCTCAAGTGGCTAAGACGCCAGCCACATACACCTAAGGTGGCAGGTTCAAATCCAGCCCGGGCCCGCCAAAACAATGATGGCTGCAACCAAAAAAAATAGCCAGGGGTTGTGGCGGGCACCTGTGGTCCCAGCTACTTGGGAGGCAGAGGCAAGAGACTCGCTTGAGCCCAGGAGTTAGAGGTTGCTGTGAGCTGTGATGCCACAGCACTCTACCCAGTGGGACAGCTTGAGGCTCTGTCTCAAAAAAAAAAAATACTAAGTTGTGCAAGAGGACTAATTTATTTGGGTCCTACTGTGTGCTATATCCACAATGGCTATATTAATGTATATTAGAAGATTAGATATAGGCTCAGCGCCTATAGCTCAACCGGCTAAGGCGCCAGCCACGTACACCTAAGGTGGCGGGTTCGAATCCCCAGCCCGGACCCGCCAAACAACAATG